AACACTTCCCCTCCATCGCTGTCAACTACCAAGTCAATTTTACGCCCCCAGGCTTTCTCAACTTATTAATCTCTCTCCAGAAATGTTTCTTATCCTCAGTAAAATTTTTTGACAGAGGCTCACCCATTCTTTCACTTGCTCTTCTTTTGCATTCTCTCCCCACTCTTTTGTACTCTCTCCCCATTCTTTTGTACTCTCTCCCCACTCTTTTGTACTCTCTCCCCACTCTTTTACCCTATTTATATAATTTTAACATTCTAAAACTTCTTTATAATCTAGCTTACTTAGCACTCTTTCGACTTCATTTCACTAACTCATTTTTTTCTTCTTTTCCTGCTGCCTGTTGCAACTGCTACTGTTCCTGCCGTTGTCACTGCTGCTGCCAACTTTTCATACGATGCAACTGTTGCTTCTGCTGCTGCTGATGGTTTATCTGTGGATGCTGCTGCTGCTGCTGTTGCCGAACCCGTCTCTGTTGCTACCGCATTGGTTGCTTTGGCTGCATTTACTGTGTCTGCTGCTGCACTTGCTGATGCTGTTGTTGTTGCTGTTGCTGCTGCTGCTGCTCTACCAGTAGGTATTCCCGCCAGGCATTATACACTAATGGCTTTCCTCCGAAGGCTCACCGCTGGCGACCCTTACTCCCAGGGGAGGACCTGCACGTAAGTCGTCCCATCCCCGGGTACTCTCTCTCTTCCTCCTGCTTAATGTAGAGCACTCTCTGAGCCTAGTAAAACCCCTCTCTTCCCCTCCCAAGCTCTCTCCTCTTAGAAATCCTCTTCCCTTTTTTTCTAGTTCTCTGTCCTCTTGTCCTCTGTCTAGTAAGTCATGTCATATCCTCTCAACACGATCTCCTCTTATCCGTTTACCGGCTAAGCCTGAGTACTGTTTTTACTTCTACGCGTAATTTCTCACTTCGTACTGAGCCCCCATCATCTCTCTCGACACCACAACAGAGGCCTTTTTGCCACTGTACCTATCTCTCTCTCCTTCCTTGTTGCTCCCGTCGTCCTTCTTTTCAACCGCGTCAAAACTCATAAGTGGGTAACTGTTCTGGTTATAGCTGTGTGGCTGGCTGCTGTATCAGCCTCTCACTAATTACTCTGAGTGCGGTCACTGCAGTTCCGGGAAAATGCTATCGCAACAACAACAACAACAACAACAACAACAATAATAATAATAATAATAATAATAATAATAATAATAATAATAATAATAATAATAATAATAATAATAATAAAACATATTTTCATCAGAAGATATCGGAGAATTAAGGACAGTGATGAAAATGGTTAGAACAAGGAGCACAGGATATACACACAGAGAAGAGTATGTTATACAGTGTATATACACTGAGAGTTGTGTTTCTCAGTGTGTGTATACACTGAGAGTTTGCTTGAAGCTCTAGTTTAGAGATTAAAATATTCTTAACTGGTGGTGAAGAGGTTCAAATGAAGCCTTATTGACCTTCTTGTAATCGATAGACTTAAAAAAAAAATCAACCAGGTCCAGAGAATCGAGTAAAATGGCACATTAGTTTAACACTACGTTTAATAAAATAAAAATGTCTTTTGTCATTCATTGAACTTTTCGGGGCTACTCCGTTTTAATGTATATTTATGCTAAACTACAATATAAATTATTGTATTTACGTTAATTTGAGTTCTTGGTGAGCACTGTGAGAAAGTGTTCGTCACTGACGCCTACAGCGGGTGCTTGCAACAATTTTAACACCACAGGTCTGCAACTACTGACGAAGGGCAGTGCTATTTTCCTGCTGATGCTGGTCACGTATCTTGCATAATTACCAGTTATGTGTTGTAAAAGTGTTTTACACCGCACACCAAGTTTGTAATGAAACTTCTTACGCGGTATCGTTAATATTATTGTAAGTTATACCCGGTATCTGTTAGATGCCTATTCCTGTACATCCCTTCCCCCTCTGCCTCTCTTCAAACCTCAACTTTCTCCTTGTCTACTTGCAACCTTTCACTTCTTGCCTCTCTCCTCTAAAACATTGCTTCCTATCACTCTTCCCTCCTGCATATCCTAACCTTCCTTTCTGCCTGCCATCCTTTCCTCCTTCAATCCTTGCTTATCTGCAGTCTTTTCTGTTGCCCCTCTTCCTTTCGTTTTAAATTTCCATGCATCCTGGTTTGATACCAGCCTTCACGAGCAGTCCATACATCAATGCAACTACGAAAAAAGTGGTATCAATGCAATTAAAAAACTGCGGTTGGCCAATAGAGTATAAAACATCAGCTGAAGGTCTTTCGCATTGCTTCCTTTGCTTTTTTATGAGCATTACAAATGGCGATATAGAGAACTAATAGGTAAATCACAAGATTTGACTAGTGAGGTGGGGTCTCCACTGCCTCGGTGGTGACCCCAAAATTTTTTCTCTCATTTCTCAATTTCATAAGGGGCTCAAGCTGCAAAGCTTCTGGCGAAGAACTGGTAATAGTGCAAAAGGCTTATATTTCACGCCACAGTGACTTGTTTTGGGATGTCGTCTCTACTAGCTTCCATCATCTGCTATTCTCTCATTTGTCAAGTGACGTACTCAACGACTTCTCTCATTATTTTCAATGCTAATGATGTGGAAAAGACGTTATGCAGGAGTGAGCTGGACTCACTTTGTGGTGACCAAACACGTATCACTATCTTACGCTCAAGCTAGTAGTAATAATAAGTTCGCTAAGTAAATATTTGTTTTATATTATATTTTTATGGTCTTATGCCTCCGTACAAACATAAGACGGGCCTAAACGAGGCAGAAATCAGCAACACACTTTGGTGAGTACTAGAGTTACCGTGTTTTCAACAGGGACCGTCATCCATATTTACATTTTTCTTACATTCGCAAGTTGGAATCTCATTTCGGGCTGGATTTTCGACTTCAGGAATCCTATGGTGAGCCTACATTTCGTTGGTCGAGAAAGCGTTATGTTGCGAAATCCTGGATCGCATGGTATAAGGCTCACTTTCTTGGTGGAGAAGAAGATGTTTTGGACTCAGCTGACCTAACCGGCTTGTTTTGACTCTAATGCCGGGCCACGTAGTCGGTGGCGACCTCCAGCGTGTTCCTGCGTGTAGGGTCACCGGAGTGTGTCCACGGTGCCCTGTCCGCACCCCTTCAGTTCCACCGCCCGGGACACGCTCTTCCACGAGTCCGTCATCACATGTGTGGTCCCTGTTGGAGGAGAGGAAGGAGAAATCGTGTGAAGATGTTCACGATGTGGTTGGCGACGCGTGGGATGACAAGGAGACAAACTCATGCTGGTGATATTTTCCATCACAAGCGTGATGGCGAGTCACGTTTGTGATGGTCTCTAATTAGGGAAACATCATAGATGCAGGAGAGAGAACAACTGTTGAAACGGTGTGGTACAGTGTTTTTTAGTTTATAGGAGATAAGAGGGCTAATACTCTTATCCTTGGAATGTCGAGAAGAATGTCTGTCTGTCTGTCTGTCTGTCTCTCTCTCACACACACACACATACACACAATTTGCTAAACCTGATGACATTAAAGGAAAGAAGGAATAGGCGTGATATGATAACGTACGCATTACTGAGAGGAATTGATAGGGTGGACTGGCACACACTGTTAAGAAGGGGGGAAGAAAGAGGAACACGAAGATACTTCTGGAGTTGGAGGACATTTTAAAAAAAACGGGGACGAAGAGAATATTTTACTCCTTTCTTTTATTAATTAAAAAGGTTACATAGAATAATAGCAATCCACATAAATAGTATCCAATGAGGAAAGTATTTTCTCAAATCACATGACTGTTACAAGAGAAAACTCCCCCTGCTTTAGTTGCTCCCTTGCAACATTGCATAGCTCCTGATGACGCACTGAGAAGTGTGAAAGTACTTGAGCTAAAGCTTTCCACCCCTCCCCCCACGTGCTTGTCTTGCTTAATTGATATATATTATCTATATATATATATATATATATTAGATATATTATTATATATATATATTGTTGCTGCTTGTGGTAAAAGTGGAGAGTTCTAGGAACTTACCTGCCAGGCATTCCATGTGGGTCCTTGCGGTCTTAATAAAGAACTCAGGTTAGGGGGTAGTAACTTTCTGTCTCCCAGTCACGTGTGTAAATGGTCTCTCCCCTCCGTTTGGGCTCTCGATCACCAGGGAGGCTTGGGCCAGGCCTGTTTGGCGAGGAGTGCCAAAGTGACTTTAGAAGAGCCAGCACATAGAGGTCCTGGTAATGAAGGAGGAGTGTTAAGGGTAATTTCAGATATCCCTGGATCAAACCGTCAGAGAAGCTGAACAGAGAGAGGCGGCACCAATTAATTTCAAGAGGCCCTGCCAGTGGAAGAAACTATCTTCGTAATTTGTGGACCGACAATTGGTTAGAAACAATGTAACACAGAGCAACACTTTAGATGCTTCGTTAGAGCTTGAGCTTTATCAGGACTTTACAAAACTTTATGAAGACTTGATAAAGGTCAGTTTTGAGTAGCACATCATCTAAAATATAAGCTTTCTCCACATTAATTGTTATTTTTTCAATTGTTTGATGCTACAGACACCAAGACAAATAACTAATGCAATCACATTGAACTGCGAAACGACAATTGTGAGCATTATGTGATGGCAAGTATTTTACTTTCAGATTTGTTGAGGATCTGCTCAAATGCCACAGAAATTGTTTATAAACGAGTGGGAAAGATAAGCATCAATTTATAAAGCAGACCAAATTTGATGAGTTTAGGTAGCTGCGCTGTCCGAAGCATCGTTCCATAACACCCTCTCTAACACCCCCCCCACCCCCGCCGCATTACATAACTCTACATACCTTGTACCTCAACATGCAAAACAAATAGTAGATGTACCTCAAAAGCCTCAAGAGATACAAGAATTGCTGCTCAAAACTTTGAAGCAAACATATCACAATATCAGATAACTCACTCGTCACCTCTATGGGAGCGGTTTTCTGGCCGCGGGAGTTATTTGCTATGCAGATGTAGGTACCGATATCGTCCTCCTTCACGGGATTGATGGTGAGTATGTGGCGGTGGGCAATATGAGTCTGGCTCAGGTGGGCTTGGTAGGAGGTGCGGGTGTGGGTGGTCTGCTGTGGCAAGTGCAACTGGGTGTCCATAATGGTATCTGGCAGTGGGCTGCCGTTGTGGGTCCAGACTACATCTGGGGGCGGGCGACCATGGACCACACACACCAGCTCCACATGGTCTCCCACACCTGTCCTCACGATGGCCTGAACAGTTGAATGAAAACAATTAGACAATCGATTCTGTTATTTTTAACGTCTAGAGATCAATCAGAATACCAAGGGACACATTAACCTTGAATATATATATGCAATAAGATCACAGAAAACAGGTGATTTTAAAATATGCAAAACAACCACTATGAAAGAGTAGTGAAATTCCAAGCGCTTTCGTGACTACTCACGATATACTTATCTATAGATATATATATATTATATATATTTATATATATTATATTATCATATATATATATTTTATATATCTATATATATATATTTATTTATATATATATGCAATATGATCACAGTAAAAAGGTGATTTCAGAATATGCAAAATAACCACTCTGATAGAATAGAGAAATTCCAGCGCTTTGTGACTACTCACATTATCAAGGAACTATGATAATGTGAGTAGTCACGAAAGCGCTGTGAATTTCTGCTATTCTATCAGAGTGGGTTGTTTTGCATTATAATATATAATAGATATATATTTATATATATATATATATATATATATTTATATTATATATATATATATATGATAATATATATATATATATATATATATATATATATATATTATCATTTTAATATATATATATTATACTATATATATATATATATATATATATATATAGATATATATATGTAAAAAACTGGTCAATTAGCACGAATCTATTTAAAATTTATTCCTTTCTGAATTTTCTCTTATACGTTTAAAGATATATTTTCTTTCATTAAATGTTAATGATAAAAAATTTTAATTTTACACCGAAAAGAATCTTCGAAAACTTATCTATCCTTTATTATAATAGAGCAATTTATTTTAGCCTAACCCAACTAAATACATTTAAATACGTTTACAGTAATTTAGTACTAAACAAACACCAATCAATATATTTTTTCGTTAGGTTCAGAAAGCTTTGCGAAATTATTGCATTACACAAAATTTTCACTTGTCCGCTATATGGCAGGATCTGCGTTGGTATTTAAGCCATGATCGCAAGTTCGGCCTATTCGGCACGACATATATATATATATATATATATATATATATATATATATATATATATTATAAGATATAGTTATTTATATATATATATATATATATATATATAATATATATATACATATATATATATATGTAGACAGCCTGTACTGTCTGCACAAGGACAAGCCCATTGCTGTTCTGCCAGCTTAGTTCTTATTTTGCGCCATGCTGGTGCTGCCCTCTGTAGCCAGGCCTCTAGTGGCACGCCAGTCTGTCGGCCCATGCCTCGCTCTCACTCGCACAGCGGCCTTGCAGCAACACACAAAGGCCTCCCAGTCTCTCTCTGGGATGCCCTGCCCGGGGCCATGGGCACAAACACAAGCCTGTGCACCCACCTACGATTAATAATTTAAGTTAGAAGCCTCCGAAAGAGTATCATTCACACCCGCTTGCCAGCACCTACCAAACAACCATTATACATGGTGCACAGCCCCGTGCTCCCCCGAGTTGTGTTTGCTGGCAGGAGAGGAGGAGGAGAGGTATGAAGTCTCTTCACCTTCATCACCCTACACAAGAAGCATCGTCTCTCAATGTGTTTATCCTGTTGTCGTGTCTGCACGTTTGAGCATCCAGACACAGGTATACAAGCAGGACGCTTGCGCACCTACCAAACACCCATTATAAATGGTGACTAGCAGTTGCTCACGCAGTTGTGCGTTTGCCTGGAGAGAGGAGGAAGAGGTATGAAGTCATCTTCACTTCATCCCCTACACAAGAAAGCATCGTCTCTCAACGAGTTATCCTGTATGTCGTGTCTGCCACGGTTTGAGCATCCAGGACACAGGTAAGTACAAGGCAGGATCCAGGCCGAAATTTGCGAAATTCTCGAGAATTTTGTAAGTGACCCCGCTACAGCGTCCCATGCTATCAGTGTCCACGCTGTTTCACATTCACGCCCCCTGTTCAGCGTCACTTTGTATGCTGTTGCTGTTGTTGTTCAGCTCAGCACAGCTGTTTCAGCATGCCAGTGGTGAGTTTTGTTGTCATGTAGGTGTGATTGTACTGCGCTCCCATCACGGTGTGAGTTGCGTCTGAATTACGTATTTGTGGGTGGTGGAGGGAGAGGAGAGGATGTGGCTGTTCCTTCCCTTGCCACTCATCACGCCACGCTCTCCGCCAACCACACTACTATACACTCACCCACTGCCACTTCCTTCTGCGGTGTTTTTTGCTGTTTTGCCCATTAGTGAATTCATGGCACAGAGCTGTCGTATCCGACGCGCGAATCCCTTGACCGATGGCTCCAGCTTCGTAGCCTACTGGTATCCTCAGCCATGGCACGACGAGTCACGGCCCGCACCACGTGGGATCACGATACGTCCTTGTGGGTGTGGCGCTCGTTTGATAGACGCAGTGCGATTCTACTCTCCAGCACTCGTGAGTGTTCCCAGATGTCTCAGGGCCACAGTGCTTGTGGTCTGCTGCCCCATCTTCACTTTGACGTGTTCGCACCACGATGTGCACTCGTCTTGTCATGATACGTCACGTAGTCTGCCTGACGTCACCTCGAGAGTCTGCTGACGTCACTCGAGATGTCTGCTGACGTCACAGTGCTGCTGACCCGTAACCTCGAGATTGTTGCTGACGTCGGTGCTGCTGACGTTTCACGCCTGACTCTCAATGATGTCACATCGAGTGTTTATAGTAATTATTTTAATATTGTCGAGAAGATGAGAGAAAATATGTCGTGTGTTAATTATTTCCTCTCAGTCAGTGTTCTTCACGTGTTAGTGTTCCGTATGTTCACAGCAGTGGGTTTAAGTTTCCGTGCTGTCCAGTGAGGTCTGAGCAGGACCTGAGTAGCACCATGTGCGAAGTCACCCGTGTGACCAGAGTTTGACAGTGATTTACTCAGCTCTGTGCGTATGAAGCCCTCTTGTTTCAGAAGTGGTATGCTCTTCGTAGTGATGTTCTGCAGAATCGTACCTGCTACGATTCCCATCTGAGATTTGTTTCACTTCACCTCCAGACCTTCAGAGTGCAGTTATTTGTAGATAAACAAGTCTGGGGATGCTTAGTACTCATAACCCTCCTGCTATAACTCAAACTGTCGAGAGATGATACTGTCAAGCCGCAGTCAGCCCTGTCGGCAGGCGCTGTGTCTGCCTGTGTCACAAGCTTCACTGAGCAGCCTGCACAAACGAAGATGTCACTTTGACTGCTAGCTCTCTCATGCAGTCTGGTGCTTATGTATGTTACGACTACAGATGTTTCGCCCAGTGTCTCTGCCACGACTCGCTCCACAACTCTTCTCACGCGCTCGCCGCCAGTGGACAGCCAGTCGAAAGTACCAGTCGAGATGTGTCTGAGTCGATTGCCGAAGTTCTTGCCCTTTGCCTGAGTTTTGTCGAGCCTCACTCGAGGGCACCAGCATGTTGTGCCAGGTTGAGTGAAAACACTGACAGCGAATACCTACGATGACTGCTTCCCGTTCCAGAGGAGTCCGTACCTGTTACGTCAAGCTCAGCGCAACGATGGTTCTCCTGTGTGCAGTATCTGTCCAGACGGCAGGAAGGCAGTTGCAGTGATGCCCATCGACGCTCACTGCCTTTGACCACGATGTTTAGCACACACCCCACTGTTTTTTTCTGCCCTCCCTGTAGGAGTTTTTTTTTCCATATTCATATGTATATATATGTTTTTATTTTGTGATTCTGTTGCCCTGTTCCTACGACGAGAGAGACCGCGCTCCTTTTACCCACCAGTATTGTCGCCGTCGGGATGACGAGCGGTAGGTGGCGAGCGTATGTAGACAGCCTGGTAATGTCTGCAAAGACAGCCCATGCTGTCTGCGCAGCACTTAGTTCATATTTCGCGCCATGTGGTGCTGCCCGTGGAACAGGCCTCTCGTAGACGCCAGCCTGTCGGCCCACGTCTCGCTCTCACTCAACCGCCGGCTAGTAGGACAGCTAAAAACAAGCTCGTTATAATATTAGATATTATCTTATATATATTTATTATTTTTTTTTATTATCACACCGGCCGATTCCACAAGAGCAGGGTGGCCCGAAAAGAAAAACTTTCCCCATCATTCACTCCATCACTGTCTTGCCTGAAGGGTGCTATACACTACAGTTTTAAACTGCAACATTTAACGCACCCCTCCTTCAGAGTGACAGGCACTGTACTTCCCATCTACAGACTCAAGTCCGGCCTGCGGTTTCCCTGAATTCCTTCATAAATTATTACTTTGCTCACACTCCACAGCAGTCAAGTATTAAAATCCATTGGTCTCCATTCACTTCCTATCAAACACGCTCACGCATGCTGTGGAAGTCCAAGCCCTTCGCACACAAACCTCCTTTTACCCCCTCCCCTCCACCCTTCCTAGGCCGACCCTACCCCGCCTTCCTTCCACTCAGCTGATTACACTCTTGGAAGTCATTCTGTTTCGCTCATTCTCTTAATGTCCGAACCACCTCAAACAACCTTCCTCAGCCTCTGGACAACAGTTTTGGTAATCCCGCACCTCCTTCCTAACTTCCAAACTACGGAATTCTATGCATTTATATATATATATATGCAATATAGAATCCACAGTAAACAGGTGGATTTCATAATATGCAAACAACCACTCTAGAAAGAATAGAGAAATTTCCAAGCGCTTTCGTGACTACTCTCATTATCAAGGGATCTTATGAATGTAAAGCATCCAAGGAAGCTATATAAGGGTTGGCCAGCACCTCACTTTAGATTCTCAAAACGGTTAATACCAGTGCACGCGGCGACCCAAACTTGGAACTCCACCTGGTCCTTTGCAGATTTCACCCACAACAACTATTTCTACCCAAGAAAATTTAACCAAATATAATTATTATTTGTCCAGTGTATTATTAAAATTCTTCCAAATTCGATTAATTTTATAAATGGATCTAATTTATATAAACCAAAGGAAATTCATATTATTGTCAAAACTGCTTTTTATAAAACAAGATTC